ATTCAACATGACAGGTATAAGTTGGCCCGGTGTGTATACAATGGTCGCGGGTAAGATTATCCTTTATCCATTATCCCTAATAGTCCATTGTGCGCGGTGTCGTGAGAACAATCATTTATTTAGGAATCCGGACAATTCCGCCCAGCTATTGATGGTATTGACCTCCGTGACCCAGTGCTACCCAGGGATCGATATCGAGGTGTTTCGATCGACGAATTGATGGTGGAACTTGTAAGCATTTCCATTCTTAACATGTAAAAGATCTCTCTTATTCAATTCATTATTTTACTTTGCATCTGTACAGAATTGAGAAAAAAATGTATTTTTTTCTGTAATGACGAAATTGAAAATGTATTGCAGGTTTTCAATGATTTGAGTTTCTAGCATAGAATTCGCTTTTCATGCCGTGAGTTTATTCCATTGTTGAATGTGATACAATGTGAATAAGTATAATTTTCATGTTTGCCGTTTAGATTTGAGACACAGTAGCAATTTTATATTAAGCTTGCGGGCAGTTAGGTTGCAAATGCAGTTTTTTGTGTCATTAAATATTCGTTAAGCCCCCAAACAGTTAGTTTTCAACACCAATTGGTTATGCAATGTAGTTTGACATTAGTATGAAATTAGTATGTAGTTTTTATTTAGTTGAAAATAAACCATAAAGCAATTTCGTCGCACGGAGAGTACTTCAGAATTGGAATGATTATATCCACACTGTATCCACATTCCGCAAGAGTCTCGAGTTGAATGCTAAATGAACTACAAACATAACAATGTTGGAAATATAGGATAGTTTTATTTCACTGTTGTCTCGTCCACAGTTAGCAATGTATTTTATTTGCAATTCCGTGTGACTGATAGAAAATAGTACAGTTATGGTTTTAAAATAAGCAGTATCTCAGTTCGTTTAAGGAGCATTGCCCTTTTGGAAGTGTACCCTACAATTTGTGTACTGCTAATAAACGCTTATCCCTAGCATATTAATAAAGACTGCAAAAATATTATTATATGTCCATTTTGTTCTCTTGCAATTCCTGACCTTGACGATGTGTAAAAATTCATAACACGTTTAATGATCAATTATGCCGTACTACTTCACTACAGGAAGCATTACAACATTTACAATTAAACATTTTAAACCCTTTTAACAATTAACAAAACTTCTTTGGGTCCGAGAATCTGCAGAGCTCCACAAGGTGCTGTAGAAAGTCCGTCGTCTTGACATTTCGTTGCGTCATGGCACAGAGTCGAGAGAAGGTGGATTTGTGTTGTTTTCAATCGCTGTGTTTCGTAACTTTCATTGTCTGTGTCCGTTATTGTAATTGCCGTTCAGCCACTTGCGAGACTTGCTAGATGACCACGAGTTAGTTGTGTAGCCTTTACCAGCGGATTGTGATTGTGAGACGATAGAGGCATTCTGTAGCAGATCTTTGACGAAAGGAAATATTGTACTGCATTAAAACTCAAGCATTGGTATCGACAATGTTGATTTTGGTTCAGTCATACATAGGTAATACCCTCGTCTTTCTCAAATATTTAGCTAAATGTTATTGCTTAATTTGGCTGATAGCTTCTTGGGGGTTTATCCTTCAATGGAAGCAAAATATAGCTATGACTTTAGTGAACGCATTTAACTCGCTCTGCGCTCACTTTACATTGACATTACACCCTAACCTTAAATTACAAATTTACACGTGTACAATTGTTTCATGTAAAATAATTTAAATTCTCTAAACGAAATTTTGAGTCGTTAGCTCAGTAGGACTCAGTTGGCGTCGATGTCCGGTGCCGCTATTTATTTATTTATTCATCATTTCAGTCCTTTCTTGTATTGCAACGGCTCATCCCTTGTTTTGCTTAATACTTTCCACACATATGCCCCGAGGGTATCATGTGGTCAGGGAAGTTCTAAATAGAAAAGACTGCCATACTCCTTAAAAATACTTTCCTGTGATTTAGGGGGAAATTAGTTTGCCTACTAGCTACAAAAAATTCGTTTTTGCCACGTTCAAAGCCTCTTCAGCAGTTCGTCTTTTATTAATGATTTAATTTTGTACAAGGGGCAAGGAATATCTAGCCTCGTAATTAAATGTATCGATTCGTTTTTGCCACGTTCAAAGCCTCTTCAGCAATTCGTCTTTAATTAATGATTTAATTTTGTACACGGGGCTATGAATATCTAGCCTCCTAATTAAGTTTATAAATGGACTAAAAAAAATATTGTTTCCATACCTGGATCTGGAAGATTTCGACATCGACATGCCAACGGTAGTTTTTTACTTGGAGACAGTCACACCTCGACACCTCGAAAGTGTCTGTTCACCTTGGACGTTGAATTTGAATTCCTCGGATGCTCGGCCAGGAAGACGACTTCCCCTCTGAGAATGGTTACAAATTACTGTCAGTCCGCCTAGACCTCGCCCGTCATCATCATTACGTGTAGCCCCCGTACACTGTAAACAATGTCACACAGCCTACGCAATGTGGCCCTCGTTTGTGTCACATTAAATTAAGACGTTTAAAGAATAAATCATCGTCTATCTACACTCGTTTGACACCCAAGGGGTTTTTGAAAAAAAGGATTTTCGGCAGTTTTTGTCGTGATAAAAATTTTCAAGATGTCGTTAAATTGGGCACTATGTTCAAGTTTCCGCTGAAATTTCGATAAGGTGGAACCAAAGGAAAGGGAGGTATCACTGTGGTATATATAAATACGAGTTCAAACTGTTGATATATTTGTCTGGAATACATTTTTTCGCGTCGGGCGAAATTCAAACTAATCTCTGCCTAAAATTTCCCTTCTCTGTCATTTTGTTGATCACAGTTGATCTCGCAATGGAAAGGTAGTTTTGTATCAACATTTTTTTAAATAATTTAGAATAACTGTTTTGTAGTCCTCGAAAACCACACACGAGTGGAAACAGCAAACACAAAAACGATCTTGTTTTTTTTTTATCAAAGCTTCATTATAATTAGAGTCTCCTAATGTGTCAAAGAGATACTTCTCTGTCAAACCCTAGTGCCAATAGTTATGCAGTGGTAGAATTAGTAATTCAGCACCACTTGTGTCTCAGTATCTTTCATAAACAATAAATAGTAAACTGCGGCTCGTGTGGAGCTCGCGGCCTTGGCTCTAGTGATAGCCGCGATAACGGTACAGAACAGAACTGGTTGACTCGCCGAAACTGGTTCCTCTGAACTGAGCAGCGCCGTCGATACGCCGATACCAGGACCAATAAAATCCGTTCGGAATCTCAAACACCTCCTTATCGCGGACCACCGAGCGTGGTGCACCGTTTAACCGAGGACGGCCCAGGATTAAAGGACAGTTTAGTGTGAAACGTTTTTCCTAAAGCCAATGTCGGACAGATTGTTGAGGAATTAGTATCCTATTACTTCAGGACTATACAAGCCTCATAATTTTTGTTGTCAGCCTTTTAACTGAAGTTGAGGTTAGGTTTACCTAGATTTATTTGCTTTCTTATTACCTTTGTAGTCGATGGCCTACCTTTGCTGTAAGTGCCAGGTCGTTGGAGGTGTGATTTACATAAGTTTCGGTTGTCCTAAAAGGCGATGCAGCATTTCCTAATTTCCTCCAGATGATTGGGTTGGAAATTGGAGAGGAGGCAAGTGGTTTTTCTAGCCATCAGCAGTGTCTGGTTTTATAACTAGTTTTCCATAACTGTACTTAAAGTAATTGCATTCCATGCATTAAGTGTTCTTTAAATACAATAAAAAATCACATAGGATAGGACTAGGGGGTGTCTATAAAAATGAGAAAGTCTAAAAGGTGTTCCATTGGGAACAGGCGATGGTAAAATATACAATTTAATATATTTTACACAAAGTTGTACACAATATTAATTGAACATACTTTCCTTAGCTTCATTCAGAAAAGACAGACCTACTCTAGCATGTGTCAGTCAAGTCTCTCAGTACAGCTGGTTAATCAGTTGATGTAACATTTGATGGGAGGGGGTCTTAAGAAATAACAAGGGTCAATGAAATGACCCCAGTGACTGTGGGGCTTGACATGCTCTGACAACAAATCTTGGTTGACAATATCAATTTGTGTGAAGAGTGTCACTTTCTATCTTTTGGCAAAGTTTTGTCTAATTTTATTTTACTTACTGACATTGTTAGTTGATGTGAAGAGTTAGAGGTGTTGTATTAGAAAAATATGGTAAGGGGGCAATCCAAATTTTCCTACTATCTTACTCAAACAAACTTTGCAACTAATTAATATTAATTTTTAACAGTGGTGAAACGTCTAAAAGTCTTAAATAACGTGTACTAAGACTAAGGACGCGATGAGTAGGCTAGTAGGCCTACTGTAGTTTCCAAGCATTAAAAATGTTCAACTCTTTCCTCTTTAGTTATTAACAAGCTGCTGCTATACCTGGACTTCGGTCCATGGAACGTGGAAGAGAATAATGCGTTCAAGTAAAATAGTTACACATCTATTATTCACTTTAGAATAAAAAGTTAATTTTACCACCTAGTGAAGTAAAATGGTTTTCTTTATAATTAGACGAGCTGTTGGCCCGTCCTACGTCCGGGAATCAAGTTGTCAATTAGAACTGAATATAATTCAGATCAGCTATTTCACACACATAAAGGCAAATTCTGGCAGTTTTAATGCGGAAGATCATCTTGTAAATAAATGTCAACACGTGACCACCTATCCGATTATGGATACAAAATTCTTTTTAAATCCGATAATAATACAATAAAACAGCAATTGTGTCGATTTGATGAGCCTTGACTTGAGATTGGCGGCCTATTCTCACACTCTGGTTTTAAGTACAGTAGCTACATCCTACCTTTTAACAACAACAGCTTCAAACTCCTCAAAATCCGAATTCATAGTTTCAAATAGGTAACGAAAATTCCCAACTTTTACAACTCACCTCTAGGCAACGCACCCGTGAAGAGTGTCACTTAATATCTTTTGCCACAGTTGTTTGTAGATTTATTTCACCTGTTTCTTTGTTCCGCAGGGTCGGGAGTGATGGAGGGGCGTCACTACCCACCGCCTCCACGCCGCCCCTATCTGCGGTTCCCACCGCCCCCGCCATTCCCACCAGCTGACTATGCATATGCCTACTATGAGCCGGGGGCCCCCGCCGTGCCAACCACCAGCAGACACACGTTCATCACCAGGTACGGCACTGAGGAGAACATCTACGAAGAGATTGGGGCTAGTCAACTGGAGGAGGAGGTGCGATACGTACACTCCCGGCATCTACAGGTAATTCTCAGAGTGTGCAGTTTATGTAATTTAAGGGAAAACGAGGATGTATTTAATTATATTTGTTGGTGTCCAATCCTTGCAGGTGTAAGAAAACGTTTTCTTCATAAAAAAGAACTTACTAGGGGAAGATTTACACTCATATTTAAATGGTAGGGACTGGCGAACTCTAGGATGTTATTTAATTAATGCATGGAAATATAGATATGAACTAGTATCAGAATTTAATTTTGCATACAAAAACACAAAAATACATTGTTTGCCATCCTAACGTGTTGCAGGGAATATGGAAAATATGGAGAAAATAAAAATATTTTGTAATATTATAATCAACATGAAAGCTGCCAGCCTAGCTGACAGTCCTTTGGGCTAATGCTGATGTGGTGCAGTTAAACAAAAAAAAATGATATTAATGTAAAAAACGCTCGAATAAGTGTGATTCAAGGTTGTATGTAGATATTCTATTTGTATATGGAAGAGTTATTTATATCGAGATATATTGTGTTATTTTTGATACTTAATTATTGTTCTTGTAGATAACATACCTAAATGAATAGTTAATGTAGTGGAGGTATAAAATCCATCAATACACATTACCAGTGTTTTAGTCAAGGTTTTTTTTTTTTTTTTTGTAAGTCAAAAGTGTTTTTTTCTAACCATCTCACAACTTTCCTTTTCCTAGGTTCTGGATGAACTGAACCTAACGGTAGAAGCCATGCTAATGCCGGAGGGTGGTGGGGGAGAAGCAGGAGGGGAGCTGTCCGGAGGCCCCGATGAGTTGTTGTCTCCAGCCACATGTTCCCTGGACTCCGGGTTCTCCGGAAGTTCCACGGGAACCAACAGTCTTGGTCGGAATCCCCCCTCCACCCCCAAGACCAAGAAAGCACCTCCATTCTGGAAGAAACTGCCAGGTCTTCATCCTACCACACCTGCCCCAAGCCCAGCTCCTGGCAAACCTCTAGGTGAGTGAATTGAAACTTATTGAATGGTGATTTTTGTAGTTTGAGTTCTAGTAACTTGATTAATAAAGATTTTACTTCCCTTCCTAAGCTTTGGGGAATTAAAATTGTCTGTGAGTAGGTACGGTGGGTAGTAATAGATCTTGTCTAGTAATCATAAGGTTAATACTTTAATACTTTTCAATGAAATGGCGACCATACAAAGTAGGTATTTTAAGCCAAGTATGAATGGAGATGAGTGTAGGATGAGTGGCACGATCTTGTAGTCTTGTTAGTGAGTAAGGCCGACATATTCCTTAGACACAGCTGTTAATTAATAATCTATACAGCTAATGGCAACTAAGGGACCTACAGTTTATAGTGGAATCCGAACCAAATTTTTTTGCCTTGGTATTTACGAATTGGTCTAATTATCAGGATAGCACTGCGGATAGTCATAGTACTCACTTAGTGCGGACGTTAATCCACACCAGGGAGTGTCGCATCCACAGTGCATGCCTATAAATATCCACAATCCGTGACCTAGTAGCTGGATTACATGTTGCTGGATCAATTCTGATAGAATTCATCTTTTGATCGTTTAAAACTGGACTTGGTTATTTTTGGTCTTGGGGTTTTAAGAAATGGTGCCCTGGCCAAAAAACAGTTGTTCTTAGTAATTATGAAAGTTACATAGCACATCCCACTTTATTCTACACTCATTCTTTGTTTATATTTGGGTTAGATAATGCTAAGACATAAGACATAAGACATGTTTATTTCCAGTAGACATATTACAAATGCATTGGAAGAGTCAAACATTTTTCATGCAGAGCAGTTGTCAAATTGAGAAGTAAGTTACAAGGTATACTTTGAAGTCTACGAAAAAAAATTGCATTTTAAGTTATTTGATTATTGGTCTTAAACTAATATCACAGAGTTTATCACTATCGAGAAGTAAAAACAACCATTTAAAAGTTAACAAAACATTACAAAATTAGACAGGTTGTACTATAAGGCATTAGGTGAAGGCATAAAAGTTAGACAATGACAACTAAAAACATAACTTTGACGAAGGAAGGTCTAAAAAGTCTTTGAGTTCGTAAAAAGGATTAACAGCTAGCCATTGGAACACTTAATGTTTAAAAGAATTATATGGGAGAGAAAACATAAAAGTAGGTATCTTATTAATACAGGGTGCGGCAGAAAGAACTCCCCTATTAGGAAAGCTAATAAAAACAAAACCAAGTAAGATATGACAGATCATGTCGGGTGAGATGGCTGCAACTTCATGCCTTATTATTTCCTTCAGGACTTCCAAACTTTGAGGGCTATAATTGGGCCGTACTTTTTTGAAGAAAATGGCGCGACTGTGCCTGTGAACAGCGATTGTTATTGTGCGATGCTCCGTCCTTTTTTGCAGCCAAAACTCGCTGATATCTTTCCTGTTCTGGCCAATGTATGGTTCCAGCAGGATGGTGCTACTTCACACACGTCCCGTCAATCATTGACATTGGTCAAGAAATGTTTCCTGGCCATGCCATTTCAATGCACGGTGACATCGGATGACCACCGGGATCGCCAGACTTGAGCCCGTGTGACTTTTTTTTGTGGGGCTATCTAAAGTCTAAGGTATACGAACATCGCCCTCAAAGTTTGGAAGCCCTGAAGGAAATAATAAGGCATGAAGTTGCAGCCATCTCACCCGACATGACCCGAAAGGTAATGGACAACTACCGGGAACGTTTGAACCAATGTGTTAACACTGGAGGCCGCCATTTAAATGACATTTTATTTAAAACACGATAATTTTAAATTATCGATTATTAAAACGATATTTTATTTAAAGCACTATAATTTTATATTTTTTTAAAATGGCATAATGTGTGTTTTTGGTTAATAGCAATAAAAATGTCATATCTTACTTGGTTTTGTTTTTATTAGCTTTCCTAATAGGGGAGTTCTTTCTGCCGCACCCTGTACATTGCATGCCCACTATTTCATAGCTTTTCTTAGATTTCTCCAGTCTAACATAGGGAATGTCAAGTTTATCTCTGAATCGAGTATTGTGCTGGTGGACATCTTTACAGCAGTTGAAAGCATTTAAATTCTTAAAACTAGTTAACAATAAATTAAAAGTATACAAGTTAACGACAGTGAGAATTTTTAAAATCTGAGCTAAAATTTTGAAGAAAAAATTTAAGAATTTTAAAAGCTAAGTTGTGTTTAATAATTATTGGTATGAAAAGATTAGAAATACCTTAGTACTTATGCCAGCAAGATAAACAGACTTCCATTCCTAAAAAAACTAAAATAGCAAAACAAATTTGATACCCCTAAATATTTATTAGTTTTGTTAAACATTAATTATTATTGTTGAAAATGTGTATTAAGTATGAAGGTATGTAAAGTCAATTACATATAGATGATACAATCTCAACAACTAAGATTTGACAAAGCCTTGTGGTAATTTGAGGTTTGGAGGCAAGTTGAGCTAGATCTCAATTATTCACGAGTATACTTTAATACTTTACTTTGAAATGGTGACCATATGAAAGTAGGTATATAGATTAGAAAATGGATGGTGATTGTCTAGGACAAAACATCAATAAAGTTTGAACTAAATGATAACTTTACTACTTGTCAGGGTCTAAATCCTTCATTGATTTATCCAAAAGGATTGAAGTACAACTGCAATTAATAGTTTTAGTGGTAGACAAGTGAATCACACCTCACGTCTGAGTTATTTTACAGTATTGATTTATTACCGTAAATTATGAGAAATGTTACATATTCATGGTAGCAGGGACAGATTTATTTGAATGCTTTAAATTAAACCATTATAAGACCATTGTTTATATTTTGACTTTCATTAAATGATCATCAATCACATTTTAACATAAATGCCAGCTCACTATGAATTGTTGTGTATGATTTCACTTTTCTTCTTTATCCCTCAGAATTCCTCTCTTCTTTGTCAAAGATTGTTTTACTTTCATCTTCTCCATTGTCAAGGGGGTTTCTGCTTTCCTCTTCTCATTTGTCTACCAGGATTTCACTTTCCTATCCTCCTTCATCAAAGAAAGTTCATCTTCCCAGATTGGATAACAGTGTTTAATTTCTTAATTATTCTACAAAACAAATAGAATAAATCTACTTTGAGAGACATTTTTATGAGTGTATTAAATGGTAGGTTGTTGTGTTCTATCGTCAGATTGCTAACAATGGCCATTTATTGTCTACCCACATCAAGTTGGGGAATTTATTGGTACAAATGATTGGACAAGGTAGGCTGGCTCCCAGCCAGACCTAGCCGATTGCAGCTAGCAGTCAGCGGTACTCATTAAGTGTCTGAAGTTTGCTCCGTATTTACCTAAAAATAAAACATAAATAACTCTCCTTAATTAGTTTTCCCCTATCTGGTCTATCTATAATTCACTACCTATTCACGATCTCAGTTTTGTGTTTTAAGAGACTAAGGTTATATGTCTACAGGTTTTTATTCAGTTTCTTTTGGGTGTATTAAAACTTATTTCTTTCCAATTGTATAGCCAATCTAAGTCAGTTAACAAAGGGTACTTACAAACGTTGTGTCTATTTTGAGTTGAGATTAAAGCTTACTCAATAGGAAAGCAATTATAAATAAGCAAACACAATGAAGAGTTTTATCAAAAAAGAGATGTGTTGCTTTTTAATCTTGTTCCTTGTTTTCATTGAACAGACAAAAGTAAACAAATGTCATTGAAATGTTAATGTTATGAGTCGGTGGTTAAGACGGTAGCGCAATGAACATCGGATCTATGGCAGCAGTGTTGTGGGTATGGATCCTGGTACCTGCTACTACGATTTATCAGTACAGTCATACAGTACAGTACCCTGCTTTGCTGGATTTTTTTTACTCACAGGCCTGAGGCCTACATTGACAGGCAAATACAAGGTGAAAAGAGTCCACCAACCTCTTTAAAAACAAAGCAATATGAAATCATAAAAAACTACCCCCCAATACAGTAGGTGTAAAGATAACCTTATCTAACCTGTAACAAAAAAGTGTGGTTAATTAATTTTGGTTAGGAGTGCATACCATGACCATATTCTTCTTCATGAACAAACCTTTTGAAATGGTGGGGATATATCTTTTCTTATTGATAACTCTTCTTGAAATCTAGGGACTGTCACTAAAATGGCTTGCTTCTTTCTTATTGGTTGAAAAAATACATGGTGAAGAATTCCGTAAGAAAACAGTAGATGACTTTGTTTATCCGTTTACTGTCGTTTGTGTACCTTATGAGTCAGTGTTCGGTCTGGTGTTATTTTTCATTTTTGTAAGTGATTGGTATACATTATTTTAAATTACAGTAAAATTTCTTTGTTTGCTGTTGAATCTTCATTCTTAGCTGCCGACAAAATCATAATGAATTCAAAATGTTTGCCTTTAAAAACCAGCTCCTTAATTTAGTTGGCTTATTGAAAACTACCGGATCTTAATGCTAACAAAAGTAAGTTTGTAAAATTCGGCAATGTTTTTTAAGAAAAATAATTTACAATTTTATTTTGGGTTTTGTTGAGCTTGAGGCAACTAATCAAGCAGTGGTCACTTAACACTAATGGTTTTATATGATTGCTGAAATAAAGTGAAGGTTTCAGGACTGGTGGAAAGTACTGTTGGTTTAGTGTACTGTTGTTAATTACCTTGTTTTTATTATATCTTGTTTATTAAAAACTTGTTGATCATATTTTCAGAAAAAGCAGATGTAACATGGAGGAATAGGATTATATCTAGTTTATTCATTGTACATTTATCTTATAACATTATAGCTATAGCTCCCACAGAGCTCTTGTGTGTACCCAAATTTATAAGCGGGCAGTGTTGAAATTTTAAACATGTGTCTTCAATGTGATTTGATTTATTCACTAAAACGAATAATTAATTATTCTTCAACTTTCTTCTCGAGTCAGAAAAAGAAAAGCATTCTCCCATCTAGAGACTAAAATAAAATAATATTATTTTTAATGAATAATAATGT